CCCCCCCCCCATTAATCAGATGAATTTAAGTTTCACTTACTGATGGAAGAGCTGATGATTCTGGGGTAACAGAGCCAAGTATAAATACAAACAAATCTTGATGCTCTCGTCGGTCCATTCTACAAAGTACAAAATATTTGTATCTTAAAATATGGTTTTGAAATACACACAAAGACAGCAGGCCCTGAATGGATATACGAACAGAATACTTGGTTTGTGCAGATAACAATACCTTTTGGTTCTAGACCTTCCTCTACAGGTGCTTTCTCATTTAGTAACAGTTCTAGTGAGGACATGGCATAAGTCTGGAGAAGGGTAATGAGAAAATAATGAGTAAAAGATAAATATTTGGGTTATATTAGGCTGAATGCTATGTGAAATATAGATGTACGAATAGATGTATGAATAGATGGATTGATAGATGGGATAGATAGATGGGATAGATAGATGAAGTATTGGGATAGATGGCATAAATGGATGAATGGGATAGATGGATGAATGAATGGGATAGACAGATGAATGGGATAAATGAAGGGGATGGATGGATAGATGAGACAGATGGATGGATGTAGGGAATAAACAAATGAGTGGGAAAGATGGATGATGGATGGATAAATGAGATAAATGGATGGATGAATTTATGATAGTACTGTATGGGTAAATGGAAGAGAGGAACGGCAGGATGAAAGGGTGGGATGAAAAGTTTAATTGATGGATAGATAGATGAATTGACGGATGGATGGATGAGTGTATGAAGGGACTTAATGAATGGATGGATGGATGGATGGAAGAATGCAAACAAATTCAAGAGCAAAAGTTCAAGGTCTCCGCTTACCTCAATGTCCAATGCAAACTCAGGTCTTGTGTGTAGTTTCTTAGCAGAGTGTATAGCCTGCACACGGACCTGTTCTTTCTCATGTGTGGTTAATTCTAGTAATGTCTGTAGGTGTTGATGTTGTGTAGCTGGACGCTTGAGTATCAAGTCTCGTAAGGTAGCAAACCCCACTTGTAGAGTTTCCTATAATGGTAAATATCAAGTGAGATGAAATGGTAAAACATTTCACCCAAGTACAATGGGTCCATTAGATACAGGCCAACTAAAAACACTTGTTTAATAACAATCAACTCAGCTAACACTAGTTATCCCAGTCTGAAGTTGACCTACTGGATTTTCACAATGTATCTTGACCATAAGCATGACTTGTTCTGTGATGATGGGAGCCTCCAAGACCACACGTGTAAATAACCTGAACATAAATTTATAACAAGAAAGTAAATAAGTAAATGGAAAGAAGATAGGATGGGATGAGAAGTCTACAGGAAGCCATCTTGGAAGGAATAGATACAATAATAATAATAATAATAATAATAATAATAATAATAATAATA